AATATTTCCATTGCCAACCTTTCTTCTTTTTCTTCGCACTCTTGGGTTTCTTCTTGGGGCGGTTGCTGCGGTTGGAGCCGTCTGACACAGAGAAACTCCCGTCGTCAAAGTCACTGTCGACATCGGGTTCATCTTCATCACTCTGACAGAGAAACGGCGAGGGTCAGGAGATCGGGAAAGAGAGAAATACCGCGTTACATTAAAGCACATTATCAATCATCTGATTATAACGTCTACTTCTCAAATATAAAGAGCGGGTGGACAGAGAGAGTATCTTACCGAAGAGCGCTTCCTCTTGCTGTTGAGGCCGCCTAGTTTGATCTTGAGTGGAGCCACCTTCTTAGGTTTGGGCTTCAGCAGAGGCTTAGATGCGGGCTTAGACTTCTTGCGAGCATTGGGACCTGAGAAAACACAGAGATAAAGTTTAATCAGGAGGTTCATAACCAACAAACCACCTTCATCTTCACATTTGATCATACCGTTATCTTAACAATAATGTGTACTTCACCTTTCCCCTCTTTGGTTTTGGCCTTGCGGAGTGGAGGTGCCGGGGCTGCTGGGGGTGCAGCGGGTGTCGGAGCTGCGACAGGAGCAGGAGCGGGTGAAGCGGCGGCACTGGTCTCTGGTCCTCCGTCTGTTCCTGGCACCACCATGTTCTCCACAGCTGCAGCCACATTGGCGGCTGCCAGGGCCGCATTCGCAGTGGCGGAACCCTACATGAGATGACACGGCACAGAGTGAGAAACGCTGCTCTCTGCTGTCAAACACATGAGGGGAAAAGCAACATGGTGACCTGCAAACTTGTTCGGGATTTCAATACCTTAAGAGGGTTGTTGGTGCTGAATTCTCTCCACTTTGCCATCATTAACGTCATCATCTTGGACACAGCAATTTTGGGGTTCTTAGCTGCAATTAAAGGCCTAAGGACATACAATGTACAAGGTGTACAGTGATTATTTATATTTCCATACCTACCTACATAGCTGCTTCAATAACGAGGTAGAGGCAATAATATCTACTGATGTGAAAGGGGTCTCCTCACCTGACGAACTGGCTGAAGGCCTTGTAGTTAGTGAGGGAGCTGTAGTCTTCCTGAGTAAAGACGTGGTCAATGTCTTTCATGCCCCAGGCCTCCAGCAGCTGGGTGGAGCTTTTAGGCTGAGGGGAGGTTAATTTGTCACGTTAGCCCTGATGGAATTCATTAATTATCCACTCAGCAGCCGAGTTTGAATGAATCTTTACCTGGCAATCGTCATCGTCGTCGTCGTCGTCATCTGGTTCCGGATCTTTACGCTTGCTCTTCGAGCTGGATGAGGCTCCCTTCTCTGCTGCCGCGCCTCCTTTCTTCTTATCTTTGGCGTTGCTGGAACGTTTCTTCTTCTTCTTCCCAGGGGCATAATCACTTCCTTCACTCGCCGACCGCATACCTCCCTCTTCTGCATCTCTTTCTGCTGCTTCTACTCCGAGCAGGTGCTCCGGGGAGCTGACTGGCAACTCCTGCAAAACAAAAAGACACTTTGCAAATCACACCAAGACACTGGTGCTTTTATATATATACACATTTCTATATTTTATAAATTCAAAATGAAAGCTTCATCATTTCTATATGATTTCTAGTAATACATATGCCACTCTATTGGGATGTGGAGGTCTGCGTGTAAAGTCATGCGGGTCTGCTATCGTCCATGTGGCTACACTTGGCTGTCTGTGAAGACTTATTAGAGAAGCTGGAACCGGAGATGTTTGGATTTTTTCCTTTAAAAAGGTCTCATAACATTGAATTGATTGTCAAAATAGTTGAGGATTCATTTTCTGTTGATTGACTAATTGGCAAATTATTAAAACCCTTCAGTAAATCAATCATATCGTTCTAATCTGAATATCTGGGTTTTTGTACCATCAGACAAAACAAGCAGTTTAAATGTTTTATATTTGGGCTCTGCTACATTATATTTGGTAGTATTGACTAGTTAAAGGTATTATAGAATCAAATTAATTGATTAATTGAGGAAATGATGTGCAGATTCATAAATAGCACTAATGGTTAGTTGCAGCCCTGATTTTAAGGAAATGCTTATCTCTCTTATTTTAATCACAACCCAGACGTCTCCAGGCTGACGTCCAGTCAAAGGAAAATAAGATGGAGGAAATAGTACTAACCCAGAAAAGGGAGATTTCTTATGAGAATTTAAAAAAAACTTTATAACAAATACCCAGTTTGAAATACTGTAAATATATATAAATATTGCAATACTTTCTTCAGTGGGCCATAGACTCAATCACCAGTGTGTTACCTCCTTCGTCGACTGACATTTATTTAAATGAATATCTTTGAAATTGCCACGTTAAGATGATTGCCATATTATTTACCTAAATAATTGTTTTGTTGCTGCTGTTTAAATTTACTCCTGATGCAACAAAAAAAGCACTTGTTTTTGCAATGTTAACCCAGTGTTGCATCATGATAACAAATGATCTTTGACCTCTTGGAATTATTGACATCATACATGCACCGAAATTATGATTAATGCATCCTTTACACAGCTGTTTTGCTTCACATTCTGCTGTGAATAAATAAATGAAAAATGAGTGAATTAGCCAACTATTTAGCTACAAAGAAAATTCACTTTTTGTGCATGTCCATGTAGATCTGAGGAGGTCCTGATCTAGAGTCGAAGGACTCACAGGGGTCCCTTGTTTTAGTGTGCACCCCCTAGATGTGACCCCACGTTGTGGATCGACATGTTTGTTTACCAGGTCAAATCTGACAAAGAAACCACATACGATGGGGGTTCCCCGAGTTAACAAGTTGACAATGCACACGGAAAGTTTGTCAAACTAACCTCTCTGATGGGTCTCTGCCTCTTGCTGCTCCTGCTCTCTCGGCTGCTCTTCTTGGCTTTCTTCTTCTTCTTCGTCTTGGGTGCCTCCTCTACGTCAGACACAGCATCCGCGAGCTCGTCCTCACCTGCGGGTGATACATGCTGTCCGTTAAAAGCGAGGAAGAAAAAAAAAAAGACACGCGGAATGGTTGCTCTGCTGCAGACCCGGAGGGAGAGAGGAGCACAGACACGCGCACTGGCACGAACATGGCGAGTGTCAGTGCGCGCACGTACACACCCTGAATGCCACAACAGAACAGGTTGAAACTTGTCTGTTCTCCGGGCTCTGAAACTTTGACAGTTCATGCCCGTACTCGACAAGTCACACGGAAGATTTACGGGATACGAGGTGTTAAGAAATAAAAACACATGAACACTTCCTCTGGAAGTTAGCTAACTAGTCGATAATGGCGAGTGACGGACAGGCTAGCTTAAGCTAACGTTAGCTTCCGCGAGCTCAGAGAGAGATGGACCTTCTTCAGAGGAATACAACAAAAAAAACGAGCTTACCGTGAAGAAGTGAGGGTTCGTCCGCGGCTCCAAAGTCTTCCCTCTCATCCTCGCTGCCAGACATTTCCGCAGCGTTTTAATTTTTAGGTCTTGCTGGTCGAATTAATCCCTCCTAAACCTTGCTCCTCGGTCCGCGAGGGAGGAGGGAAAAATGACGTGGGACTGTTGGAGAATGGACCGGGGGGGTGTCCAGGAAGGGAGGGGGCGGTGGGTGCTGGAAAATAAATAAATAAATGGCATTGGTCGGTAGCTAACGTAATCCTTCCTCAATGTCCTAATATTTACACAGCATCTGATCTAATTAACCACCTGCGTGCTCAAAATAAGTTGGATAACTGGATTATCTATGCTTTGACATTTATCTGTTGTTGATTTGCAGGTATTAGTCCACACAGGAGTGAATGAACTTAAGTGTGGCATTCACCATTATTTAAAGTGTGTGCTTCAAATCTCGCATTGGCGAGTTCAAACAATACATTGAAGAAAAGTTTAAGCTTTGAAAGCCTACCTTCACACGTTATAAACTTACTGTAGTGTGTGTGAGCTTAGTCCCGGGTCGAGGTGTGTGCTCTCTCTCTCTCTCGGTGCAAGAATGAACACAAGTCAGGCTGTTTGTGCGGCAGTTGTTGTCATTTAGCGCTCATTCGCTAAACCCGGCTGAATCAATGATCAGCGGAATAAAATAAAAACAGATCCGTCAATGACCCAGAACACGTTGCTCCGTCCCCCAACCTCACAGGCAGAGCTTAGCTAACATCCTCACAAACACACAAAGGGGCAGACATCCCATAATAATCCCCCCCCCCCCCCTCCTCCTCCCACACTCGCACAGGACTCTGCATAGTTACCTCGCAACGGACAGACCATAATACTCAGCCTGCCCCCACCCCCCTCCACCACGCGCTCGCACGCGCGCACGCACACTACCACTGCTGCTAGACATGCGTGCACCGGGCTCCCTGAATGCACACTCCTTCCCCTTTCCACTAGTAGTCCCAGCCCCCTTAGCAACCTCGTTGTCATAGTG